CTTGGGGAATCTGTGTCTTCAAAGGAAGAGCTGTTAGGCTGTTCACACACTGAGGGCCAGGAGCTGCAGCTGCAGGATGGGAGCTCTTGCAGTGATACTCATGGGATCCGTTAGCCAACCGGAAACCATCAAAGATCCTAACAGGAAGCCAGAGGCGGGGCCTCAGTCCCAGCTTCAGGTCGGAGCTGGGATTTGACAAGGGTTTAATAACCATCACAAAAGTTTGTATGGAATGAGGAGACATGAAGAGAAGCATCATTAGTGCTCAAGCCAATCTGTTAATGTCGAAGGGATCTGTGCTGTGCTTTTAGGGTAAAAAAACTGACTTGGTGACTGCAGGCATAGCGTTTCCCATGAAGACTGGGAATTTATAAGAGAAAAAAACCTCAGCTGGGGGGACATAGCTGTTTGGTAGAGCACTTGCCTAGCAGCATGCGACTCTGGGTTTGAGCCACAGACCACATTAAAGAAGATGCCGCCAGGGCAGCTCAGGTTGTAATCCCAGCATCTGGAAGTGGAGGCAAGAGGATCAGAAATTCTAGGTCATCCTCAAGCGCATGGTGAGTTCGAGAACAGCCTGGGCTACCTGAGACCCTGCCTGGAAAACAAACAAAACAATAAAAACAAAAACAAAACCAGGAGCTCTTTCGCAGTGTTTGATGGGTTGCAGTGTGTGTACACACGTCATGGAGACGCCATCTTTAAACAACCACACAAGGAAACCGAGAAGAAAAACTAAGGTAGCAATACGCACACTCACCCCGAGGCTGCAGAGGTCTGGGGTCAGAATGGGTCTTGCACAGCAATGTGTACAGCTGAGGGTCTGCACTGTTTTTAAAATGTTTCTGTAACTTCTCTGTAAAGTTGGAGGAGCAGTACATGAAACTTCGTTTTCCCCTTCCTTTCCCTTTGTATAATTGGTGTGTGTGTTTTGTGGGCAGGATCTTGCATAGCTCAGGCTGGCTTCAAACTTAGAACGTAACTGAGGTTGACCTTGAACTCCTGATCATCTTGCCTTTTCCTCCCAAGTGCTAAGATTACAGATGTACATCATCACATTTGGCTCGTGTGTGTGTGTGTGTGTGTGTGTGTGTGTGTGTGTGTGTGTGAGACACAAAAAACCCACTGGAAAATTCTCATATAACAATCATGTTTTTAAAAAAAAATCGCAGCCCACAAAGGAAAGAAAATAAATATCCTTTTCTCAACCACAAGAGAACCGACAACTACTTTACACTTACTGAGTTAATTACAATAAGATCAGTTATAGTTTTAAGAAAATTGAAACTGAAACTTCCATAACAACAAAGAAACAAGATTTCTCAAGACATCAAGGAAAACAAGAGTTAACTATCTGAAGAGGAAGAGTTATACAATATTAAATCATTGTAGTTACAGATCAACATGTACCTGAAACTTTAAAATCATACTAGCCAGAATCCAGTTCAAGACGGTAAGGAGCACAAATTTGTCAAGGATGGAACCTTCACCCAAGCCTGACTGTTTTCACTTTAGCATGTTAGAGACAGCCATAGTCAAGCATCCGTGCTTCATGTAATGGACAGCTCACCACTCTGTAAACTTAGAATGTCAGTGTGGACATTGCAACCTCCCAGCATTCTGGCTCCTGAACTCCTGGTTTCTGATATAACTGCAGCTGGGACCGAGTCTGGGTCAAGCTACCCGAGGCTTGTGGTTTTTTGTTTGTTTTGTTTTTTAGTTTTTCGAGATAAGGTTTCTCTGTGGCTTTGGAGGCTATCCTGGAACTAGCTCTTGTAGACCAGGATGGCCTTGAACTCACAGAGATCTGCCTGCCTCTGCCTCCCAAGTGCTGGGATTAAAGGCAGAAGATTAAACTGACCATCCTTTGGTCATAAAAACAGTTAAGGGTTTGGGGCCATACAGAAGCATATGGTGCCTTCAAGAAGATGCTGAAGGGGTGACGTGCATTACGGTCGGAGTCTGTGCCCTGGTACCTCATCCGTCACCCTCGAATGCCTCAGCAGACCAACTGTCTCCTTAATACAAGAAACAGTGAAAAGCAGGGCAAGGATTTTTGTTTCATCTTAACAACATTGGGCAGAAGAACAAATAAAGGTGTGCAGCGAACCCCCAAAAGTCCAGTGAACCCCATTCCATCTTCTAGAGTTTCAGGTTCAATAGAAGGCAAGCTATGCACCACTAAGCTTGAAGCAGTCCTGGTCAAGGTGTGGTTCCCTCGTGTTGGGTCCAACATAGTCCCAGCTCCAGTCTCTCTGAGAAGTTGTCAGAACTTCGAGAAATCTCTTTCTGAGCCAGTTCCTCTTGTGGCTAGTGCCAGGCTTCAGGCTTTACCTTCTTTTAGCATGAGGCTTCTAGGGAAATTCCAATTTCTTAGGTTTTATTGCTTTAGTAATCTGGTAGCCAAAGGGAGGGGCACAAGCGTCTCTCTTCAGGCCGCTTATGGAAGGTTCTCCTCCACAGACATGAAAGAAGAGGGCTTCTCTTCTCTGAGATCCCAGCAGGACAGGTATGTGTCCCTTCCTGGTGGCTTAACTAACTAACTAACTAACTAACTAACTAACTAACTAACTAACTAACTAATATGTGGGACAGAGTCTGTAGACTAGGCTGGCCTTGAACTCACAAGACATCCATCTGCCTCTGCCTCCAGGGTGTGCCCCCATGCCTAGCCATGGCTGGTTATTTGCTGTTGTTTGGTGTTTTTTTCTCTTTTCTTGTCAGTGGAGCAGGAAACGGTACATGCTAAGTTAGCACTCTACCTTCTAAATATGCTGTGGTGCAGTAGCGTCCTTTCCCAAGTCAGGAGAGATCCCTAGAGTCAGAGGGTTGAGGGTGGGAGTTTCAAGTAGCTTCCATGAGAAACAAGAAAAAAAATCTAGTGAAACATATACACCAAAAGAGATGGGAGGAATAACAACTGAAGACAGAGACTACTATTACATTGTGTGTGTGTGTGTGTGTGTGTGAGTACACATGTATGTTCATGTGTGCGTGTTCATGTTCAGGTGCTTGTGCACATCTGTGTATGTGTGTGTGGAGGCCAGCAGTTGATGATGAGTGTCTTCCTGTATCACTCCCTACCATGTTTTTGTTTTTGTTTTTTTTGAGATAAGGTTTCTCTGTGTAGCCTTAGCTCTTGGAATTGACTCTGTAGACCAGGATGACCTTGAACTCACAGAGATCCACCTGTCTCTGCCTCCTGAGTACTGGGGTTACAGGTGCAAGCCACTATGCTCATGTTTTTTTATGATTCTGGGGATCTGAACTCAGGGCCTCAAGCTTCGGCAACAAGCACTTTCCAACCGAACCAGCTCTCCAGGCCCCAATTTTACATTTGGGACAGCATCTCATGTAGCCCAGGCTAGCCTATAACCCATTACATAGTTAAGAATGACCTTGTACTTTGGCTTTCTTCATCCACCACCCAGGGCTGGGCTTACAGGCAAGTACCACCAAACCCAGTCTATGGGGTGCTCGGGATGAAAACTGGGACTTTGTGCATGTTAGGTAAACACTGTAGAAAACAACCCACAGTTACGGGATTTCTCCGAACTCTTGGAGCAGCAGGAGTGCAGGGATGTCAAACGGATGGAAGGAGCTGGGCTGAGGTGGGAAGCAGAGGGGCAAACACAGTGAAGTCAGGGGAAGACAATCCCAGAATAAAGCAGGATCGGGGGCCAGCCTGGGCTACACAGGAGCCTGCCAGAGCCAACACACACCTCTGGTGGCACTGATAGAGGCTCAGTAATGAAATGGGTGAAACAGCAAGGGGGTGAGAGTTAGAGGGAACCTCTGGACCGTCACCCAGTGGGCGAAGCACTCAGGTAGCTCAAAGGCCAAGTGCAGGACTCAGATGTGGGAGTTGCAGAAGGCTGTGGCCAGAGAGCAACTTTCTGGAATCCAGTACCAGAGGTGGAGTCACAAATAAGCAAAGGTCCCAGGTGTGCCTAGGGGAGGATGCAGCTGATATGGAATAAAGGTCACAGCACATTACGCCAACACACACCACGGATGTTGGATGGCTTACACATGTGAGCTTAAGTCACTTGGGCTGGTGACAAATATCAAAGAAAAAGAACCCAGGAGGATTGTTCTGGGTTCAAGGACAGCCTGGGCTATAGAGCAAGGCCCCCATCTCCAAACACCGACAATTTAAACAACAAAACAAGCAGGACAAAAAGCAGGGAGTGGTGGCACACAGCGCGAATCCTAGCACTAGGCAGGACAGAGGCAGGAAGATAGTTGCAACTTCCAGGCCAACAGTGAGGGAGGAAGTGAAGGTCAGGAAGGAGGGAGGGGGGGACAAGGGAGGGAAGGAGTCTCCTAGTGGGATCCGCAAAATCTTACAGTCACCACCAGATCCCTGGTTCTGTCAAAGCTTCCCATCTGGCTTACTTAGGAAGCAATAACACCTTGTGTTCTCCCTATTCCTATTTGGAGGTTGGATTCTTTTTCTTTTGAAGCTACTACAAGTGATGTCTAAAATCTAACTTTTGATTTGAATATTTAAAAGAGAGACTCAGGAAAACCAGGATCAATCATCACCCCCCCCCCCCCCCACTCTCCACCCCCAGTCTCCAGAAACAGCAATTCTACAGGGGAAAGCTGTCTGACTTGGGTCTCTCAAAACTATAGTCTGATTTTTAAACAGGTTTGAAGTCCAGGAAGTATGATTAGGAAAATACTACAACTATCTTGATTCAGTTCTTAGGTAATTTAGTCATAGTAGTCACCGCCGATTAATCAGTGCACACGGGCTTGGAGGGATTGCAGACTGACCGTCTGGCCTGTGGGCGTGTCCTTGTTCTCAATGGTGTAAGGAAGGAGAACAATTGACTAAACTTCACAGAATAATTTTTCTGTTTCTTTTTTGTGAGATGATTCTTCTGTGTAGCCTAGTCTTGCCTCTGCTTCTCAGGGCTGCGAATTTAGGCATGGACCACTGTGCTCATGCCTTTAGACCTTAGCTTGCTGGGTATTACCCTTGCTTCTGCCTGTAAGCTGTCAATATTTGTTTATTTATATTTTCATGTGCGTGCGCGCGCGCACACACACACACACACACACACACACAGAGCATCTACAGGTGGAGGTTAGAAGCAACTTTCAGGAACTGGGTCTCTCCCTCCAGCATTGATTCCAGGGATTTGAACTCAGGTCTTGAGGCTTGTGCAGCAGGTTCTTTTACTGATGAGCCTTCTTGTTTTCCCAGTTGCCAGTTTTTATTTTGATTTTTGACCATCTGAAGTATTTCTCTTGGAAGCTGAAAAAAATCATGTCAGGGCCTAGTAGCTGGAAATCTCATCTTATGACAAATGCAGTTTCACTTACGAGGTCTTTGGTAGGATAGCCAGAATCTAGTTATGCAGTCTAGGTTGGTTTTGAACTCACTATGTAACCCTGGCTGACCTTAAACTTGCAGTCCTTCATCTCATCCTAGCAAGGCAAAGTTTTGTTCTAACTCTTTTCATAGAAAAGCAAGTTATTAAGCCGGGCATTGGTGGCACACGCTTTTAATCCCAGCACTCGGGAGGCAGAGGCAGGAGGATCAAAAAAACAAAAAAAAAGCAAGTTATTAAATATAATTACTTTTGTATTCTATGTCCATGCAGAAATATTGCCTGGGTAGCAAGGACAGAACCCAAGGTATCCTGGAGTTTTGGGGGAATTTATTAAAATTTAAATATTGGAATTTACTAGAATTTTTTTTTTTTGATTTTTCAAGACAGGGTTTCTCTGTGGCTTTGAAGGCTGTCCTGGAACTAGCTCTTGTAGACCAGGCTGGCCTCGAACTCACAGAGATCCGCCTGCCTCTGCCTCCCAAGTGCTAGGATTAAAGGCGTGCGCCACCAACGCCCGGCGGAATTTACTAGAATTTAAATATTAAAATTCGAATTAAAAATCCCTTCAATTTGCACAAATGAATTAACAGAATTGTAAACTCTGTCTGAAGACAATTGGAAATCAAGGAAAAAAGATTAAAATCTATTGAATACATTTTCAAACATTGCCTCTGACCAGAAGAAAGCCTTTTGATTGGCATTTTGAAATGTTTTTCTTTTTGAGACAGGGTCTTACTTTGTGGCCTGGGCTATCATGGAACTCACCAGGTAGACCAGGCTGGCCATGAACTCATAGAGATCCTCCGACCTCTGCTTCCTGAGTGCTGGCAAAATTTTTAATTAAAAAAACTAATGGATTTATATTTTATCATCAAGTAAGTGACAAAGATCAAATTATATATTGAATACAATCTTCCCAAGTTATTTTGAAAGAGAAAAACAATGCAGCAACAATAAGCCAACATCCATGCTAACATATCCTGTATTTTGGGAACTTACTTAGAAGTGAAAATTGTACCAATGGTAGAGACAATTTTCTCACATAGTCAGGTGATTGGAGAGTGGTGGGAAGTTGTACGTACCTTGGGGTGCACCTTCAGGTTACATCGAGGTCAAGTGTGGGAGCAGCACCCCTGGATTGC